CTGAAAACAAAATTAATAAATTATCTGTGGGCTATTTTATGGAGCTTACCGTGGTGGTATTTCACTGATGCAATAAAATGATTTTTCACTTTGAAACATCCCAGTTAGGTGAGAAGCTGGAATTATTTATATTTTCCAGATAGAAAATTGAATCACAAAGAATAATCACAAGTTATTACTAACTTGGCAGGGGTCAATTTCAGAAATGTAGTGCCTGATCTTTCAGAGTAATTACCATAGTAAAAAGTTACATTCAAACTAGAAAAATGGAAACCATCCTACAGAAAATCCTGATTTCTGGGGATTCTTTCTTCCAAAATGGAACATAACCTTGAAGCTTCTTTTAGAAGTCAGTACTAAGACTCAGGACATTCCTGATGCTGCTCTGTACTGTCAGTACATGATATCAGCACTGATTTGAGAGAAGGAAAAAAGTCTTTGAGCTAGGCTGGGAATGAAAAGAATAGCTCCGCAGTTAAATGTCTGCAAAGAAGAGAGCCTAAAATAAGAGGCTGTCTGGGGAATGAGGAGCCGTAAGGCTGGTATTTTACAAGGTACCCAACAGTAGCTCCATAAAGTACTGCCTGGTTTCCATCTGCATTTTCCAAATCAGTGCATTACCATGCAACATGCTGATTTTGATGACATACATTATCGTTGGAGAAGTTCAAAGCCTGCATCTCAGTTTTAGCCACAATACTCAGTACTTCTACAAATCATGCTTGAGGCATGCAGAAAACACTGGAAAAAAATAGCCATTTTTATAAAGCCTGTAAATAACTAGTCCAATACTGTACAGGAATTCTGCATCAGAGGCAGCAAAATCCACTACTACATCGGGCTCTTCAGTTAATTTGGTAAAAAGAGTTTCCCTTTCCACCCCTCAGCGCTGCACCTCACCTCTGCTGCAGTGAGCCAGGACTGCTGGCAGCGGGGGCAGAAGACAGCGCCGGGGGGCCTGGCAGGCAGGGGAGCAAGGGGATGCCCCTTCCTGCTGTGCCTCCATCCTCCACTGGCACCAACCCTGGCTCCAGGCAGCAGGAGTCACCCTGCTGCAGGCACGGCATGCTCTGCACTACTTTGGTGAGCTTTACGGGGTGCCACCTCTGGCACCGAGCCCTCAGTGGTGCCCAGGGACGACCTGCTGGTCTCGTGTGAGGTGTGCAGGCTGCTGTGATTCAGAAGAGAGGCTCATGGCACATCATGCTGCAGTGCTGTAGCTTACAGGCTATCGGGTCGTAGGCAGCAGACCCCCCCTCTCCCACTCAGGCTATCCTTTTTTCCAAGAGAATCAACATCTGCTGGACCAACAGAGATAGACCAGTGGTCAGTATGCTTAAGATTGAAATTCAGATCCCCGTTCCAAACCAGATACAGCAGAAGCTTGACTCTGTGTGTCCTACATCCCAAGTGTGTGTTTTAATTACTGGGGTATGAGCTCCTTGGAGGGTAAAAGATGGGTCATGACAGAGTTTCCTCTTTATGATCAGGAATTCAATCTTGGATTCAAGAAATCTCTCCAGTTAAAACTGATTGATTAATTGCCACAAAAAGTTTTGGTCAAATCACTATTTCCTGTGCTACTCCCCCCAAAATGAAATTGTGCTTTTAGAGAACTTCATTTGCCTTTCTGAAGTTTCTTGCTCATACACTGTACGAGTTTCATAGCAAGCAAAACAGGAATTCACCGAGCAATTCCAATTCCCCACCATCAGTCTGTACATTTTGCAAGAAAACTGAGGCAGAGGACTGGTGGAAAAGTAATCTGCAAACACATAAACAAAGACTGAATCACAGCAAACATAACCTAAAGGTACTAAGAAGTTACACAGTTAACCTTACTATTACTTCCTAACCTTTATTTTGCACAGCTTGAGTTTGTAAACCTAATAATATTATTTTAATAGCATTTTTGTTGACTTTGATGAATACAGAAAATTCATCACACAAACAGATAATAAGAATTCTGCTATATGGTGTGATATTTGCCCTCACTTCTGCTACTTGAGCCACCTAAGTACTCACAGCAGCGGTACGTTGTCACCTTCTTTGTGAACCACTGCTAGAAGAGGCCACCTACCAGCAGGCTACAATGATATTTGCTGATTCTGACTCTATTTCTACCTTGAGGTACACTGCAGGCAAGCAAGGGAACAGGCTGTAATGCTCCTTGCATTTGCTTTCTTTTGCCCTTGCACAAGGGTCTTCCCATCGCCTTACAAAAGCAGTTCCCTTTTCTGACTCCAGGTTGTTTTATTCTATCTCAGTTTTCCTCCCACCCCACTGCTACCACACTGTTTCCCTCCCTGACTTCCTTCCTGGCTGGTTTTTGTCCTCCCATGGACCTCCCCCATGTCTGGAGCGCAGACCCTGGAGGTACCTCACCAGTGGGTTCAACTATCCCAGCTCCTACTCTATAACTCCAATCTTTTCCATAATGGATTTTCACTACTTGCCTTTCTCCCTTAGCCCAGCCACCTGCTCCTCCAAGCTGAACATTTTTAAAGTAAACAACTTTTTACTCTATCCTCCATGCTGCACGGTAGGGATTGAAAGCTGGAAGACGAGCACCTTCCTGCTGTAGGCCTGTTTGGCTGCCCCACTCCAATCTGCTGGGGACAGGGTCTGCTCAGCATCATTGCTGGACCTTGCCCAGGGAGAGCTGAGTCATTAAGCAATTCACATGCAAAGCTTGGAATGTGTTAACGGCAGCTTCTAATAATTTGGTCAGGTTTTCTCACTATTTTCATAAAAAATGACCAGAAACATGTAACTGAAATACTGTTCAACTCACTACCAAATTCCAAGATGCTGCTAGATTATTAGCAGTATGGGAGTATTACAGCTTCTGAAAGAAAAGGTTTTGAGAATATTTTAACATAAGTAAAATTAATTTTTGCCCTAACTTCATTGTTAAAATGACCTAGTTGTTCTAACTAGTATTTCCCAAGATAATTCAAAATTATTTTATAAATCAGTTAATATTTAGGACAATTATAAGCCACTTAAAACCTGATATGTAGCAGAAAATCTTAGCTAATAATAACAGGCCTGTTACAAAAATTACAGACACAAATCTATTTATCCACATATTTGCATGTATACATAATTCACTCTCATCTTTTGAATGTCTCCAACTGAGGTTCTGTCAGTGCCTCCATCTTGAATAACTATCCAAAAAATACCTTGACCCTAAGAAGAGATGTTGATGTTCTTAAGGGTAAGGTTACCATGTGATAAAGGTGTACAGGATTGGGCTGCATTTATTTTTTATAGATTTTTCTTTTCCTGTATAAATTTTTGTGATAGCTGTTTTATGTATATGAAAATGTCTCAGCACAAAGAATAGATGATATGCTTTTTACTGCTGCATATATTTGTGCAGTATTGCACAAAATTGCACATGTTTTGATGTTCAGGTTGGGAAATTAATCACCACGGTTCAGTTTGTTCCATGAGTGGGTGAGCTCCATCTTTATTACCAATTTTCAGTTCTATTCAAAACAAGTGACACTATATCTTTTCATTAGATTATTAAATAGACTTTGTCGACAAGACTGAAATTCACATAAAAGAATATTCTTGTGTGTAAAGATATTCATTATGTTGTTACAGTACACTGCATTTTGATATTTGAAAACACATAAATTAAGACATACTTGGAAGTGATCAGACTACTTGCAAGTAAAGATTCACAGCCTCTACACAGCTGAAAGCAAGGGATTTAAGAAGCAAATTTTCAAGAAAGGGAAGTCAAGAAAGGAAACTTTTTAAGGCAGAGAAGCTCATCCTAAGAAGGACAGCTCTATTAGGCAAATGTTAAATACTTAAAGTACAGGTGTGCTCAGAAATTTTGTTATAAAACTGGTAAAGAACCCACTTACTAGGATGAATGAGACACTTTTCCTGTTCACAAATTTTACAAGATTTCAAGATACAATGCTGTGCTCAAGGGAAAACGAGCTCTCTCAAAGGCTACTAAGAGAAATCTGCAGCCTTGTAAAGACAGAGACCTGGCTGGAGCATTCACCTGCAATAGAGGACATTGGCGTTCAAGTTCCTCCTTTTTTGTGTCTAAGCAGGGACTTGAACTTGGGTGTCCCGGATCTGAGCTGAGTGCCCTAACACGAGTATGTAGACTCCTGGTAGGATTCATCTTGGCTACCTCCAGGTGTCCCTACACAAGGATGAGCCAGCTGCGGCAGCGGAGTCTTGGATATGATATACCTCATGCTAGAAAAAAGGCTGAGGTCAGTCCGCATGAGACTCCAAAGTGACCCCCTTTTCCTGTTTACTCTAAGGACACCTTGGGATGACAAACTCCACTGTAGCCACCTGTACTGTAGATGGTGACATTTTGTTACATCTTCCCAGCTAAGCTTGTTTTTCTTTCTGGCTAATAAATGCTTAATTACTTATACAGCTGGGCAAGCTTCAGTACAGAAAGACTTATGTAAGAGGATGGATAGGTATGCTATGAACCTGGCAATATAGTTTTTTTAAAAAGTCTTCCCTTTTCCATCTTTCATTTTTTATACCAAGCTCAGCATCAGTTTAAACAGATATTACATTCAGAAAATACACACTTCAATGATTTTTTTCAGGTCTAATACCAGTAGCCATCACTACTAGTAATCTTATAAAAGATAATGCATAATATCAATAATATCCATATAATTCCAGGTGTTCTGAAACCATCACTTCTATTTAACCAGAAGAACATCTCTGTCGATTTTATTTACCTTATGGATGGCTACTTCTCCCCACCGAGGCAAACAGCAAAACATGAAAACTGGACATAGGCAGGGCAAACCAAAATCGGCAATATATGAAGTATACCTGATAGTGATTTTAAAATGATTTCTAGTGCCAGGACTTCTGAATTATGGGAATTGTGATTTTCTCACAGCAGAGAGAAGGCTATTTTTAGCTTACAGATATGAACCGAGAGTAGTATACTCTACAGTCAATTTGTAGATAGCATCATTATAGGTACTTACCTAAGCTTGATCTTGTGTTAGATCGCTCTATTATCGCATGCTTACTGGGGTTGTTTAATACTGAGCGTTTGGCAAGCGAGATGTCTGCTGTGACTCGTGTAATTGATATACTGCAAAAATAAAATACAGTAAAATAGAACAGTGTTATTTATCTTGCAGGGATGTGAGAAGAAAGAGACACTTGTTCAACACTAGAAGATGGCTAAGACTACAGGAAAACAAGTTCTCAGGGGCACAGTATGCTTTGCACAATGTGAACAGAGAAGAAACTTCATCGAACTAATATTGTTACAAGAACCATTGATAAGACATCCCCCTCTCTGCACAGTACCAAAATACAGCATTGACTACTGGCCACAAAGCTACATGTGTCTGGGGAGAGGGGAGGCAGGAGGATGTCAGAGAGGTGCTGCAGAAGATGAGACTTCCCTGGGGACTCCAGGCCTGATGTGGTTAAACTTTGCACCGGCATCCCCAGTATGGATAGGCTGGTTTCTCCTTTCCCTAGTTTTGATGGATTTGTTGAAAAGCACTGAACAACAGCTTGGCTTACTTCAACCATAAGTGTAAGACATATAGGGATATGCAGAGTTAACAGGTAAAGGGTAAGGCTTAGGAGGGAAACTAGTACAGCCATATAACTCTTATTCTTATTCTTCAGTTTACTAGCATACATTTTTTAAGAGTGCAAGAGTTACCTATAATTTTCCAGAAAGATCCAGCAATATGCTGGCCACCCAGAAAATGTAGACTGCAACACAGATAAGCAAGCAAATGAAAACTCTGGGCTGAGTATCTGGCAGGCTTAGTTTTGTGTTTATGAGAAAAGATAAGCCAAGAAAGAAGTGGTTACTTCCAGTTGTTTGCACTGACCTGCTACATAACCTTCTGCATATTCTTCTCCCTAGGAAAACAGTTAACTCTGTTTGTTTTGTTTTGCTTTACAGGGTCAAAATGCATCCTTTGGATAAATTCCCTTTCAAACTCTCTGGTCTAATGAGGTTTAGGGGTCACATTTTTCCAATGCTGAGTTAAATCAGACTGATGATATTCCCTTGTTCTCCCTTGTAAGATTTTACTTGCAATTTAAAAGGAGGAAATGGATTTGCTAAGAACAGGGAGGGCTCCTCTCTAGCAAGCACAGTCAGATGCTGTTCATCTGAAATGTAACCAGATAGGTCATTTCCCAATGAGCTCAACATGTGTCTATACTTATCCAAAACCCTATAAAATGTAACAAAGCCAGAAGTTAATACAGAAAAACAGAATTATTTGCACAATGCTGACTAGTAACATAATTTTGGAAATTTAGGCGTGATTTAACTTAAGCTGAAAACATAACCAAAGATTGTGATTTCTGGCACAGCTCCTCACAGATAATGCCATTAGTCTTAAAATGAAATTTTAAACATGTTATTTGGGGTACTCGTTAGTTATTTTTATTTGCCATTTGATGAACACTACAAACTTTTATAGCTTTTGGGGTTTTTTTTTTGGTCTTTTGTTTGTTTGGGTTTTTTGTTGGTTTTTTTTTTTTTTCCCCCTCTTGTCTGGCAGTTTTCCTTCCTACATGCAGTAGAAAATAATTTTTCCCTTTTTCAAATGCAGTTATGGTATATTGAACAAAGCTACATTTATCAGTCAAAAAATGCTATTTTTCATTTTAAGGTCTTTTAACATCTTTTTAAGGTCATTTTAATGTCTTTTGAGACATGTAAGACCAGGAAGAGCAAGTCTCCTCTCAAAACAAAGGGCATGGATGTTCATATAGCAAAACAATTGCAATGAGAGCAGAGACATCTTGACAGCGGAGTGGCAGTGAAAGTAGTAGCATGAATCTAAGAACCTCCTGTACAAATTCGTTGAAGATCTTGAGTACCAATTCATATTGCTACTGAAGTTCAGGGTGCTTCAAATCTGCTACTGTAGATATCAATTGTATTTAGAGTATTTGTGGATTCACCCTGCCACAACTGGATCTAAAACTGAAAATTAGATATGATCTAAAATTCTTTAAGACATAAAGATGCAACAACTTTTTCTGCTTGCAACACTCACTGTTTTGTTAACTTCCAATTCTGAAGGTACATATCTAAGATTTGACAACCCCGACTAATATGAAGAGGGACTACTAAGTGGTTAGATCTCAACCTCACCATTCTGACTGAGAAAATCCAACAGCTTAAACCACAATGTCTGGTATTTTAAAGAGCTGAAGCTATTGACAGAAAACCTCAAGTTCCCTCTTGAAAGTTTGACAGCACCAGGACAGATAGGATAGTGTTACTGCTCTGCCCACTTCCAAACTAAAAAGAACATTCATTGAAGTTACAGGTATTAGAACAAGACCTTCCTGTTTTCTCAATTTTTCCCCCAAATGTCAGCCCACTAGCATATATTAATCTGGGGCCTGATCCAGTAGCAATATAATCACATGTGGAGAATCCACCTGATGTCTCTGGTCCGTGGGTCCATGATATTAGAATTACAGAACATACCACTGCTTTTAGAGATGGATTATCATTTGACATTTGCACTACAGTAATGCCTGGAGGCTCAAACCCCCCCAGCAGCCTTTTTGAGACTTCCCATGACAGAGTCCCAGCTGGAGGGACCAAGAGTTTGACAATCATATCCATTAGATAATCTGAATCTTGTATCACTCTTCCCAAGTTAGATGCCACTGTAAGCAATTAGAGCTGAGGTGGAATGGTGGCCCTCAACAGCTTGTATAGAACCCAGGAAGCAGTGAGAAGATATCACTTAAAAAATACTTAAGCCAAAGATCTTTTTTTAATAGTACATATTTATTGAATCTGTAGATAAATATCTAGCAATCCAGAGTATGAATGCCAGTCATGAACAAGACGACATCCTTTTTTCCGCTCTCAAAGATACGCTCCTGAATACTTCCCACTGCAGTACAGCCTCAGAGTGCTCTGCTAAGGAAACATTATAGTCCACTGAACAAGGAATCAGCTGCCGTTCCTAATTTTCTACACACATTTTGCCAAGAATGTAATTATTTCTTAAAAACCTGGTAGTACCTAAACAGGACCTAAACTCAAGTAGATTTGCATTGCAAAGTACTTACCGCCCTTCGAATCTATGTTTTAAAAAATCAAATAATGCTTTTTGCATCATATCGGTTACCTAGAAGCATACAAACAACAAATTAGTAATCACACAGAAAACTCATAATACTTGATGCTAATAATAACATGTAATAAAGTTGACAGTGAATCTTACACCTGAACAATAGGACTGGAAGGTAAGTAATTTATTCCTAATCTGAATTCTGACAAGAAATAAAATACATGTAAGCAGTAGGTATCTGGTAGAAGTAAAAACTGTCTACATTTTTCTCTATGAAATAAATTATGTTATCCAGCTTAACTACTTCTGAACATTCAAATACAAATGAAGCAGAGTATTTTTTGCAAAATAAAACAATTCATAATGATCACTTACCTCATATCCCTTCAGAGAAGGCCCCACTAAAACTACTGGTCGCATAGAAGGCACTACATCATAGGGAGGGATGTGCTCTGTCTGCAAAACAGAAAAAACTTTCAGCATCACAGCACCTAGAGAAAGTGTTACACATTACTTACAGTATTAGGAACTCTGAATTTCCAGCGATGTCACCAACACAGGAATCATGAATTCATGAACTTTTTCCCAAAACTGGCAGTACAAGATAAGGACATAACAGGTTCAGGGATTTCTTTTGGAAAAGCTTTTCTCTGACTTTTGGTTTTTCTTGCCATTTTCATGTTTGCTCTGGATAGCTACAAACTGTTATTCTGGAGATGTTCACATGTCCCACTCCGTAATTCCTAACTGGTTAATTGAAAAGGTTATTTCCAACAGTTAATGATTTGAAATGATTGACTCTCGAGTGGTGACATCTGTTTCCCACCAAAATTTTATGTAGGCAAATTATGAAGGACAGAAATAAAACAAAAAGGGAGGGGAAAGGGATAACACATCTCTTTATGTTCAGATCTGCCCACTGCTTGACAAAACATTGTGACACCACTGCAAATTCCCACAGGAGCACTCATAGTCTGACTTCCACATTTGCATCCGCAATTCACTTGCAAATGAAATCAAAATAATGACTGATCAAGTTAGTATTTATAGAAAAATTTCATAAACAGAGCTTGGGATAGCAATCCTTCTACTTTGGGAAGTTTCTGTCACCACCCAAGAATGGATTCTGTCAGTACAATACTCACCAAACTACTTACTGATGTATCGTGCACAGTTTATAAAAAGTATTTTAAAATCTGAAGATAAAAAATTGCCTGTTTCCGCACACATTTTGATGTTGTTATCAAAATAAAATATAAACAAATTAAACTGTTTTTTTTTCTTTAATAAATGGCTATTCAACATATATCACCAAGAATGAATCTTACCAGAAAGAGTTTTTTGTTTGTAAGGGAGGGTTTGGTTTATCTTTGTCTTGGTGAAAAAATGATTGAAATCCAAACCCAGGAATGTGTGGGTGATCTGGAAAAAGGTATGCCAGATCTATTTTTCAAATGCCTACACGGTACAAATACATCAGCCAAGATCACAGAATACAGTCATTGTTCATTGTTTCAGTACTCAACGTATCCCAAGGTGTTTCACAACAACAACATTAAAATAAGTATATACATTCCGAAACACAAAACCACAAAGACAGACATTAATACAGTGACAGCACAAAATGCTACACAAGCAGCAGTCTAAAGCAGTCTAAAACACGGAAAACATTTTTGTGAATGTTTTTCAAAGCAATTTAGCTTATTTTTTTGTTACCTGTAGCTTCACCAGCTAATTAGTAGCATAAGAATGAATACTAGTGCCCAAGGCATCATAAGCATGTGAAATGAATTTATTTGACACAGTGCAGAATCTGACTCAACACATTTCAAAGCAAAATCCTGCAAATATGCTGTGCTAGTATCAAAATGCAGCCCTCCGCTGTTCTTGCTAATATTACTAATAATCTGATAAGTATATTAGAGACACATCCTAAGAAAAATTCATTACAGATATGTAGGTGCTTATAGCATGTATGTCCTGATGCAACAGATCTTTGTCTTAATGTGGCTGAGTCAGCCAAAGGTATGCTTGCTAGAAGTTAACCGGCTATTTGAAAATTAGGGAAAGCACAGAAATTACCTTATTTGATGGAATATGGGGTATTTTAAAAATCTGTTCTGTGGAAACAGGCATTTTTTTTTCTCTAATCTTTACAGCTTGAAGTTGTGAAGCTGTCAGCAGAAAATTGAGTAAAAGTTATCTAATGGAAGCATTAAAGTTCTTTAATTTAGCATTAGAGAACCTAATATTTTCTGAGCTATGGCGCTGAGCTATACAGCTTTCACTTGCAGATTCAAGTTCAAATATGAGCTTGGAATAAAAACTGGCATAGCTTTGACCATACGGCTTTTGCTCAGTGGCTTGACTATGTATAATTAGGGATGCTCATCCAGTATTTACTGTAAATGTCACTATTACGAAAACCACTACAACCAGTAATGATTCTGATATGGAAGAAATGAGGCACCACAGCATGAAGAGAGAGATGGGGCTAGCCACCATCCAGCTCCAAGGTGGTTAATCTAGAAGCTGCATCTTCGAAAGATGCTCGTGCAGATAGCATCCAATGCACGTCAGCATGTATTATTCTTCCTTAGTGTTTATACTTGGTTATAAGGATGATTAAATAAGAAATTACTCAGAAGCAAGAAACTGCTGTTGATTTCCATAATGGGCTGTGAAGGGCATGGTACTTAACAGACCCTACTGAAGGAAACACTGGTGACTTTGGAAATGAGAAGGATCCAATATTATTTAAAAGAGTCAAAGACGAAAAGAGAGACAGAAAAAAAGGCTTTGTTTACTAAATATGAGGGCATCCACAGCAATGGCAACAGTATCGCTTGGCACTGTTTATAAGCACTGTAACAGTCTAGTGTTACCTGCAGATTTAAGTGAGTGGTTTAAAACAAATGAGTAAGAGCTATGAAGACTAAGATTTAAAAAGAAAAAAAGTAGAAATGTGGCGTTACAACACATAATTTGGCTGCTACTTAATGTCTTGATAACTTACTCCAGCAAAGATCCTAGAAACATACTGCAGTTTGCTGTAACAGAATGCCAGTTGCATAATTCTGTAGATATCTGGGTTATCTATGGAGAGACATCGGCTCTCCTGGGAAGCACCAGTACCAGTAGCTGAGATACTAAGAAAGGCTGACTGACGGATGGCAAGAACATTTGGCTGATAACTTATACATGACAACAGGGAAAACTCAAAGTAAACCGTCAAAACAAGTCTGTGGTTTTCCACTGTTTTTGTTCACCTGCAGATTTTGCACCAAGCAAATTAGAAGTTTAAATACTGACTAAATTAAAAATACAACGGTTTGACTATTTGTTTTCTAAGTACAATCTGAGTATCTGATCAGATTCCAATAATGATTTCAACAGACTGTTATAAGGAAAAAAACTTGGGAAAGACAGAAAGAATAAGCATGCGCTAGAGAGGTACATGATATGGATTTATTAGAAATAAACTTCTCAAACTTTCAGAAGGCCTTCTAAGTGTGTCCTATTATTCCATCAAAAAGGATAAGTACTGTAGCGGAGTTCACGGACGCACTGAACTTGGGACTATGTGTTTTCTTGCACTGAATCCACTAACAGCTCAATACATTTCTTCCTTAGTTCTAGAATAGCTGTGTTGTTAATCTGGGGTAGCAATGCTAATGATGCCAGTGGCAGGATAAACACAGGTAATGTCGATATAAACTTACCGATTTCTGCTTCTGCTTAGCTACAGCAGCATGGAAAAGAAACAAAGAACAACAAAGCATGCATGTTATTGGCTTGTCAAAGGACGCAGACAGTTAACAGGACTAGAAATGTGACGCAGTGCAGGTGAGCAGGTGGACAGATGGGAGCTTGGAAGTCGGTGTTACCTTCTTAAAGAAGGGCATTCTTTTCTCTTTGGAGTGGGGTGATGTTACACTGTTTGCACTGGGTTTGGGGGAGCGATGGTTTGCTGGAATATCATTTTCTTCTGCATCTAAGCCAGTAGCATCTATGTCTATAGCTATATACAGACAAACAATTCAGAATTATCAGATGACAGGGAAAGTAAAGATAGGTTAAAAAGGAAATAACAGGTAAAGAAAAATAAAACTGTCCAGAGTAATAAATAAAAATTAAAAAAATCAGCCATGGGTACCAAACACAATAAAACAAAGGGAAAAATTTAAAGGTGCAGTACATTAGGATTAGAAGACAGAAGGCAATCTGTAACAGCTACTATAACATTTTCCTCTGATCCCCTTTTACACAGCTACATCATACACAGAATTACTCTTAAAAAACAGAGCAATGGCCAGGTTCCTTCTTGTTACACCAGTGCAAACCCAAACTAGTTCACTGGAATAGATAAGACTTTTACCAATGTAAACAACAGAACTTGGCCAACAGCATTTGAATTATTTTATAGCAATGAACACTAATTCAAAGTGGGTATCGCTAACTGAAATTTGAAATGTCACTACTGTGTCTATAAGAAATTAAGAAACAGAAGAAGAATCACTTTTGAAGCCAAAATCAGGCTGATACTGGTACAATAATGTCTACATTTATCTCAGGGTGGACTACAATTGGCATTTTTAACCATTTTAACTTAAAAAAAGCACAGTAGTCATAAGATACATTTATTAGAAGTAATAAAACCAGACCTACTAATAGTGAAAACTAAAAAGAATGGGTAGCAGAAGAGAGGAAATTGATCCCAGCTTGTCTCAGAGACCTGGATCCTGTTGTAAAGAGTAAGGATGTAGGCAGGGCAAAATGGAAGTGAATACAATCAGCAACTGCTGAATACACAGCACACAACGCTTATACCATACATATGAAATATTTACCCCCTTTAGCAAGTAAGTAAGAACAGTTTAAGAAAAAATTGTCATGGACTCAGAAATAAATGCATTTTGAAAATGCAAAGCCATGTTATCCTGAATGCTGAGTCTGATGGATATCTGCTAACTACATCCGAAAAATACCAAATCAAACAAAAAAAAGCTTTCTTGTTTACAATGCTCAATCCTGATCATAAGTAATGTCTTAAATATATCTTCAGAAAGCAAGTACATACACAAAAGTGATCCACAGACATGCAGTACAACATCACCCTTGCGTGTAAAGATCTTACCCACCTCTTGACACATTCTGGTAACACCTGCTTATCTTGCTGTGCCATTATGTTGAACCAAATCTAACTCTAAATAGGTCTGTAAGCAGTATTGTTTGCATTGACTTCATCCAAACCCATATTTAATCATTGCAAACTATTACAAAACCACCTTAGTGACCTGCTTTCAGCTGCTTGACGAGTGGGACATCAACTAATACAGCATGTGCTATTAAATTATGCAACAAATAAATATTTCTGGCAAGCCTACGTGCAGCTACTGATTTAAAAACCACTTGGGACAGTGATCTCTTCTATTTGAGTAAAGTATGTTTTCCCATTTGAATTATCCGCAGATCTAATGCCATGATGCCTGACAATCCCTGCGTTACAGAACTGTGCCTTTGAGCCTGCCCTTGACAGGAAAGCCTGCGAGTAGATCTGCACCCTGTTTCTATACCCCTGCTCCTAAAAATAGCCACAGAAATCACGTAACATTTTCTTCTAGCAACACTGTTCCTTCATCCTCTTCATAAGTATAAAAAGAACATATTATCTTTTTCTTGAATACAGGCCAGCGCAGATGCTATAAATCACTCATAATAAGGCACATTAAAACTCCTTCAGTTCTGTGTCCAACTAAAATCATCAATAAAGAAAAATCAGGGTTGTTAGGTTTTTCCTGTAAAAAAGAAACGCAGCATTTGATCAGCTAGATATCAGTATCTCCTTTTTTCATTTTCAGTCATCATACTATCTTCTGTGTTAGTTCTTTTACTGTTAATTACCTTTAGTTCATTGGGGTTTTTTTCAGTCATTTTCACCATTATCCTCATCCTGTTTGGTGGCCCATGAGGACTGTATGGGTTGATTACTATATCAATATAATATTGATTATTTAAATGGCTATGAGCCTCCTTTTAATTTGTTTTTCACTGTTTCTTCATCTTGTTTGGTTTTTTTGTTGTTTTTGTGGCACTAGTTTATATTAAAAAAAACCATCCCCAACTCAAAGTCAAAAAATGAAGTTAACTTATTCTGTCACAATCTCTTCAACTCATTAAATAATGTATGTATTTGTCATTTATTATACTTTCGAAAAGAGGAGGCCTGGGAATAATAATTGAACTGTACTTCAAAGTCACTTGAGTTCTTGTGTTAGTCACAAACTATTCCTCTTTCACCTTCTTGGGATGTTGTAAGATAAGCAAAAGAAAACCCATTGCAGACCCAAAATCTTAAGATCACAGAATAACCTAATGTGTGCTATTCACAAATATTCTCTATTGCAGACCCAAAATCTTAAGATCACAGAATAAGCTATTCACAAATATTCTCCGAATCTTCAGTGTAACTAAAAAAATTTAACCAAATTTTCTTATTTCTCCAGAAAACCAGGTTTCTCAAAACTACTGTCTGAAGAAATGACTCCACGCAATGAAAATTACAGCATCGCTAGCAATCAGTCAGTTGATAACTGAAATAGGCTGCCTATTCTCTTACCTCTAAATTATGTGCAATATTCTGAAAATTTCATATGTTCTGCTGTCCAAGTGTTTTTAGGATAGAAAAAAATATTATAGCATTTCAGATGCTCTAACTATAAAATTACAACATAGGTCCATGGACACTTTCTACTGCAAAAATGCAGTCGTCGAAGAAGTGGGCCTTGACAGTAAATATGATAATTTAAAGCCATCATAAAATAAAAGATTAAGGTGTTTTCTATAGGCTTGCGATGGACACATATTAGTAAACTAAAAATACATTTTCCAAAAAAAAAAAAAAAAAAGGCAGGTTTGGAACTTAAGTGGAATTTTGATAAACAAACTGTAATTGTAATAAAGTTGGTTGTTACAAATTCGTGGTTTCACAAGCAAGACAGGTATTTTTTTTCAATTAATTTAATCAAATGAAGCTACTACCATAACTTGATTGAATTCCTCTGTCTCTCTCTTAATGTGCATGTAAATACTTTAAAATCTTCAGGATCATTTTAATATGCCTGCTCTGGAGACCAGGCTCCATATAAACTAATATGATGGGAAAATACATGTCTTTCTCTCAGTAGACAAGGCACTAGCGACATTCATTAATATTTTCTGATTTCGAATATTCAAAATGCACATTTTCTCTCTCAGGAGAAGAAAAAACATCCAGCAATGCAGCACTGAATTTAGTAGTTTGTTTTTTTTTTTTTTTTAAATCTTTTGCTATGCTTTTTTCAAGGACCTAATGCCAGCTTCCTCTACCAATTTGATTTGTGTTTGCTTCATTCCTCTTGAATGCAATCTAAGGTTAAATCTGTGTGTTGATGCTCTAAATACAAAACAGTATTTGTGAAAAATTTGTCACAAAAGGCAAAAACCATCCAGTAGAACTATGTGAAGCACATCTTCATTATCAGAGTTGTGAAACTGAAAGTTCCTGTTATAAAACTATGCCATTCTTGATGCTACTGCAGAAAGCTCTTGGGAATTT